AGCGGTGCTTTTGTCCAGTGACAGACCTAAAAAATATTTTTTCCTCAAGCTTCAAGAGTTGTGCCAAAAAAGACCTAAAACTTGCAAGGGACATTAATTCAACTAATTATAGCTACAGGTGAATAGGACTGAATAGGAGTAAAAACATAATGGGCATTTATTCTATTCCATGACATAGGAGCAATATAGGCAAACAACTTCACAGTTTTCTGGTCACAGAACAGCTCCCCAGTGGTTAACACACATTTTGGCTGTTGACAGAGATTCTGCATCTGAAGAAGCAGTTCCTATTTTCCCTTTAATGCAAAGTTTAGGTGTTATCCCTAATCCAAGAAATCTCCGGAAGGTGTACACATCTTCCCTGAATTAGAAAATCTGCTCACAGGTTTAAGACTCGAGCCTGTGCTTAAGAGCTACTTTCGACGTGGAATGAATGTACAAAGCTTCAGTGATAAGGAGCAAGAATCCTCTCTGCTTTGTGATGTGTATTAAACTGAGAGTTGCAGGCATCAAAAAAATTCAACCCATGCTTCTCATCCACCAGCAAAAATACTATTAGGAAAAAAGTGGAAAAAAGAAGTAAAACTTAATTTATCTCAAGAGTATTAAAGATACAAGGAGCTATGACAGATCACTGTATTTAAAACTACCACCATTACACACATTAATTCCCTGTCAAAATGAACATTAGAAAGTCAGGAATCTGATTAAATCTTCAAATGAATGTTTCCTCAACTTGTCAGACCTGCTACTCTGACCTCCTATTCTTACACCCAGACCTTTCGCTTTGACAATTCTCTCTATGGCTTCTTATCTCCCAGCTCAGGACCATAGATGTCAAATGACAGGATGGAAGATGGTGATAACATTCAAGTGCAGCTAGGGAATAAACCATATGGTAAACCAGAGCTTTAGAGAAGCCTTGCAAACATCTCCCAGGTGTAACACAGCAGCGTGGGCTCTCTCCTACTACGTGTAGCAGATGCATCCTGTTAAGGCATTGTAGATCAGGCTCACGGGCTGACCCAGGAGGTCACAGAGCTGGCAAGAGGCATGAAGCTGCTCTGCAAAAGAATGAGAAAACCAGAAACCCTTCCTAAAGAAGATTTCACAGGGGGAAAGTCTTTTGGTCAAGAGACGTCATTGCCCTGGGTCTTAAAGCCAGTTTGGTAAGAAAGACTTGTTCCAGGATTTGTCCTCCCAGTATGAATTTCTTCTAGTAAGAAAGGACAGGTCTTTAGCTATGGGGGGGTAGGGGGACAAACCAGGAAGCTGATGTTTGTACAGTAAGTGAGACATGCTACCTTTATTGCAATTTCAAAGCCTGAGACCTCAAGGCTTTATATTACACAATACTACTTTGCTGACATAAAAAATTGAGCACAGAGTACAATGCACTGGGAACAAAATCAAGTTTGCAGACAAATAACGCTACCAAGGATATAATCCAAGGCATACTCTTTAATTTCCTTGGGCAATACTTCATTTTGGTTACAGCACTGGGACAGTCCTTCTTACCAGTTTAACTTAAAACTGCCAGTGCAACGTAGCTGATTTTAAAAAAATATAGAGCTGAAGTGCACATCTTGGAGAATGATGCAGCTTTAACATTTTCTGCTCCCAAACCTGGACTGTCCCCCATGTTGTGCCAGTATAGCTGACTGGGAACTCGGGCACCTCCTCCTTCCAAACTATTTAATGCACATCCACTCATCTCCTACATATAAGTGGTAGAAATTTAAGGCTGCACGTCAGTACAACAAAAAAGTAATTACCTTGCTAATGATTTTCTTTTCTGCTCATCTCTTTAGAGATAATGACCTGACAAAACTAATTTATTTAAGGGTTGGTCCTGACATGGTGATGTCAATGAGACAGGGTCAAATCCTGAATACTGAAGGCAAAGTGAGAGGAAAAATAATCCAAAAACCAAGCCATCATATTTAATGCCTGCCAAAACTCTTTAGATTTTAATTTTTTTTTAAGTCTCTCACTTATCTTGCTTCCACAGTAACGTAATGGTAAGGATGAGAACGAAGCTGCCTTCTTCCCTCTGCAATTAAACAGGTGACTGCCCCTTACAGCTGCAGTTTTGTGAAATGGAGTGGCTGGAAAGACCACACTGTAACATCTCTAATTATGAGCAAAAAGTGAGGGGATCTTCCAACACAAATCCAGCACAGATGCTGCAGACTCATGCTGCTACTTAGTCTGGATCATGATGCCTCCAAGCCTTTTTCCAAAACTTATGTGAAAACCTGAAACCACTTAAGGACAGAACAAGAACACTGAAGTGTATAACAATGAGTTATTTGGAATTCTTGAAGAAAAGGTTATGGGATGCCTTAGTGGCCTAGTGGCAAACAGGCAGAATTTGGGTTTTAGTCTATCTCATCTGGCTTCCTGGATCAACAGAGTCAGGGAGTGGTTAGAAGTATTTTGGGATGATGAGGAAGGAGTCTCACTTTTCCTCCCAGAAGATGAGCTATATATATTTTTCTTCTTATACTTATTTGTGTTTCTACATGTTTGTTGTTCCTGTAATAAGAACAGAACTCTCTACATGGGAAGTAAGAAAATATGATCAAGTGTGGACAAAAGGATAAGATGAGGAAAGCTGGTTATTATGCACAAGTGAAGACTGTGATTAGTCCTCCAAAACTTGGCTAATGCCTCAGACAGCCTAAATGTGTGGGTCTGCTTATAGAAACAACATTAGATTTCAACCGCAGTAGCTACTATAACCTCACTGTCAAGGAGTGACCTAAACCAGTTGAGAAAGCCTTGATCTAAACAGAATCCCTGCTATAGCTCTCCTGGTCCTTCACTAGAGAGTTTTGCTACTACCTCAAATAGTGTGAGCCATAAAGTCACACAGAAATAGTTGTGTTGGTAAAGCCTAGCATAAAAATAGACACAGCTGTGCCAAAAGAACACAGCTTTACTCAGCTTAACCTGGATAAACTGGGAGAGAAGGAAGGCAAAAATTTACTTCCAGGAGGGAAAAAAACCCACAAACAACAAATCCCCTTTCTCTGACCTGTCTACATAGCTGGAGACTGTGTGGAGACTTGCTGGCATAAGTACAGTGGCAAAGGCGCTTCCAGAGCAGAAATACTTTAAGAGACACTTTTTGAGAAGCAGGAGTAAAGCACGATGCATAAGATCAGAATCATTTTGTAGTTGAGCATCTTTTAGTAGAAAGTAACAGAGGAAATATGGCTGCAAGAGATCTTGAGCAGCCATCTCATCTGTCTTGCAGGAGCAGCCATTCCTGGTAAATGGTAACTGTTTGTCTACCTTGTTCTTAAAAACCTCCAGTGACAAGAGATTCTGGCTGAAAGACTGTGGTTATACACTGCTCTTACCCACTTCTTCAATGACCACTTATTGTTAAAAGTATTTTTTCATGGAGAAGGAAATGGATGCCTATACCTAAAGGCTAAACCATACAAGGGCAGATGTTTATGCTAAAATAGCATATGTGGTAAAGCTACAGAAAGACATATGAAATCCAGCAATAATTCATGCAGACACAGCCTCAGCCACTTCTGTATTCTCTGCAGAGCAGATAAAGAAACAAAACAGCACCTTGAATGAGGATGACACTCCTCACTCTGCCCCCTTCCCAAAAGGGTTCAAGAGATGAGAGGATCAAATTATGAATTCTTTTCTTTCTGTCATAAGAGTGAAGCACTGGGAAATGGAGCACCTTGAAAAACACAGGAAAAAAGAGAAGCCTTGATGTACCACAGACATGGTGTAAATCTGAGCAAAGAGTGAACCTCTTAAGTACACAGCAAGTCAGAGAAAGGAGTTCTGACCGTTAACAGGGAAGTGAGGGCCTTTAAAACAGCCTGAAGAGCAATAAGGAATAACAATAATCTCTGAAAACATTAGCACAATAAAAATGTTCCCTTTTCTCTCTCTCTTCGTATTTCCATAACAGACTTTCAAGAGGAACAAAACGTGCCTGTAGTGTCATTGTTACTAAAAACTTTGGCTAGAATAAGGAGTAAGCATCTTATTTTCTTCTGCTTTTCCTTTGACACTTCAGAAAACTCTCCTACTGCACAGTGAAGTACACGTGAATGTCTGCCACGGTAAAAATAATAAGCACAGTTTATGGCTTTGGCTTGTCTTTGTAAAGAAGTGGCACACAATATTTTAAGATGAAAATGTTTTAAATGCCATTTTAATGTTAATACTTACTTGAAAATATTGAACAAGCTAGGTATTAAAAAAGGTTGTAACACTGAACAGCTCTTACACTACCATTAAGTCATTTAAGATTGCACATCCCCAGGCACAGTTTCACAGACACTAAAACTATCCTAAGCTGGTGCTGCTGCTGAAAAAAACCTCCAAAACTGCCTCTTCAGTTAGGCAGAAGAGACTGAGCAGAACATTAATGGCCACAAGCAGTGAGGTACACTGCAGCCATCTGAAAAGGAACAAGAGGCTGGTGGAGTGGGAACAACACAACCCTAGGCATCCTGAGCTGCTCATCAGTAAGATCAAAACATCCTTAGATATGGGGTTAAAGCCCATCTTGTAAATGAACAAGGTGACTTAGGGCTATCATCTAACTGCCCATCTGACAACCAGTTCTTGCAAAGAACTTCCTTTCCTCCTCTTTTCCCCATTTCTTCTTATGATCCTGTCTGATGCTTCTCCTTTAGCTGGCAAAGCCAATTCACTCTGCGGTTACAGGAGCATCACTGGCAGCAGAAAGGAGCGGAGCACTTGTCCAGAGTTGAGCAACACCACCACCTTCTTTAGCTAAATTAAATTAACTAAGATGAGTCATCAAATCACACTCAGGATATTTGTTTTTGGTTTGAGGGTTTTTTTAAAACGTTCAGTTAGCATTTTAACAGAAACACAGATTACTGTTATCACAACTACAGAATTAATCATACTTATACAGCTACAACTGCGTAGATGTGCCAGTCACCAGCAACAAAATCTTATGTATTGCCATATTCTTAATCAAGCTTGAAAACATTATATTTTGCCTTCGCTGCCCCACATCCATTGTTCCACGTACAGCTTAAGTGGTACTGTCTTTTGAGATATTCACTGTAAAAATCCAAACATTAATACTTACAGTTCCAGGCCTTGAGAAGTCGATACTATGTGTTACACTTTGTCTCATCTGATTGCTAAACAAGCGAACACAAACACTTTGAAGATACTCTGGTGTGATCTACAAATGAGGAAACATAAGGAGAGAACAGGATTATATAAAACTTACACTTTCTACCAGACAAGTATTTCTATACTAAAGGTTGGTGGGTTTGGTTTTCGTATGTGGTGGTGGTGGTGGTGGTGTTGTGTTTAGGGTTTTTGTTCGTCTGTTTAAGAGGGTGAGAAATCGCACACCTGAGACTCATCGACGCAAGCACAAGGTACATACTGCAACTACAGCTTTGTTCAGAAGTTAAGAAAACTGTAAACTCTTTTTGTCTGGGAATAGTTACGCTATTCACAACAATGATGCTAAACACTTCCAGAGAGCATAGAAGAAAACCAGAATTCGTCACACCTGTGTTTGCACACAGATTTTCCTCAATCAAAAGGAAGTTCCCCAACAGTAAGCACAAAGCAGGTTTTTCTATAGACTTAGGCAATGAAGTGCTGATTTGTTGTCTAGCTATAAAGCAGAACTTGCACAACTGCCTTGTACGGCACAGAGAATGAATATGAATTACGCAGTATAGCACTTTGTGTTTCAATGCGAAACATCTCAGAAAGTTTAGGGTTTTTGTTTTGGAAAATCACAACAGAACTGCCTAATTTCAGACCACTTATTAGCTTCCCCAGAATAGAGGTGAGAGGACCGAGATAACAGAAACAGGAATGGGGACACTTCTGATATTCTCAGACTTACAGTGAGACAACAAAACTCTTCAAAGTCAAAATGCTGTAACTTCAACAGGACGTTATTCAGCACCCAGCTCCACTTCGGATTCAGAAATGACAGCCACCAAGATTCAAAGCGAAAGAGCGCCCTCAGCTGGACACACTTGGGAAGGAACAAATGCCCAGCACAAGGCTTACAAGGGAAATGAAACCAGCAACCAGCATGTGTAACAAGAGAGAGCCAGTGCCTGGCTCCTCCACCCCAAGAGGTAAGGGGATATCACCTTGGAGAGCACTGGAGTGTGAAATGGAAGGCAGCAAATAACTGACTCTGTGCTTCTTATTGTTATCAAAGCTCATGTGAGCAGATACCTTTCCTAATCTGCTGTATGGCAAAATCCACACCTACAGGCAAATGCTTCCCTGCAGTAATGATGTGAGCGGTGATCCCAGATGCAGAGTAACAAACTACAAGATGTTCGCAGCGATGACACGATGAAAGCACTGACTTGTCAGCAGGCAGCACAGAAACTCCTAGGCCCTTCCCCCTGCTAACAATTCACAGCTTTAAAAGCATCTAGAGGCCACTAACATCTGCTGTAAGAATAATCTCAGGTTATAAGGAGGTTATAGTATAGAGAGGCCTGTTTGCAGAGAAGAGGGCACAAAAGATGAAGCATAAAGTCATCTCTATAAAAAAATAACTATAAGAAAGTGGTATCTTCTCCAGTCACAAACATGTGGCCTATTTCACACAGTAACTCATTCACTCCTGTGCCAGTTCCCTTTACCAATTAAATCAACAAGTTCAGCTTAGCAGAACAGAGAGCAAAGCTTTTCCCCATCAAAATTCTGGATAAGATTGTTTCCACCACAGTGTAACCTAAAACAGACCTGGCAGCAGTTTTAAGTATTCAACCTCTGATGGGCTGGATTGTATCGATAAATACAAAAACGCCCTCTAATCACTGCTGATGCCCAAAGGTGGCTCTCACAAGAGACCTGCCTTGTGAGATGGTGATAGTTTCTTCAAGATTTCTGAGCCAGCACAGTTCAACCCATCTTCTGCAACACCTTTATCCTAGTGCAAAGGGGCAAGAGAAGAATTTCTCATCCAAAGCGCTGTTTCATTAGTAAAGAGACACAGTAATTACAGAAATGCTCGTAACTATGAAGTTTAATTCCCATTTTAGTGGAGTTTTCTCAATTTTCTAGGGTCAGGGGAAGCAAGTAGACATCTGAGTCATCTCTTACCATCTTGCCATTGACCGTGGCCTCCAAGGAATCCACCAGCTCTGCAGTGACTCCAATGAGATTATGGTAGTCTGCCTGCATTTTGTTAAATCGTTTCAGGTAGGTCATGGCCCTGTGCTCAGACTCCACTAACTGTTGATGAAGATGTTGCAACATTTCTGTCAAGAGAATAATAAAAGAAATAACATCACCTTTTCGACCAAAAGGATAACAGAACCCACGAGCATTTTTACTGCTCTGAAGAGACAACTTCAACTGCTGCTGTTGCTGGACTTCCAGCTTGCAGTGAGATTAATACGCTATCATCTTCCACATTCACTAAAGTAAGAGAGGCTAAAAAATATTATCACGGAGCAACTGCAAAGGTCAAGCTGCCACTTCAAAGGTAAAACCACAGAACGAGATAATAACAGTACCCAGAGGTTCCTGCGAACGTTTGTTAGAGGACACTGTGAGGCTGGGTGTTTTCTCCAGTTCATTTATAGAAACAGACCACTCATATTTAGGTTATGGAGTGCTTTGCTTATTTTAAAGTAAATACCAAGTCATCTGTCTTTTAAGGAAAGTGGTACAATTCACAAAGAAAAAGCCCCAAAGATCAAGTTATCCAGCTCCTAATCTGCTATTAGAATATTCACCTAATTCTTCCAAGTTGCAGGGAATTCTCTACTTCGTTCTCTACTTTTACATAAAATATTTCAGGTGATTTCATAATTTACTGGCTGATGGGAAGCTATATTGGTTACTTTTACTAGCTTCAGTTTCTGAAAATAATTCTAAATTTTAAAATTTTTAAAAAAACCAACATTCCTGATACATTTTGTTCCTTTGATTTCAATTACTTCAGAGATGAAAGAATCAGACTAAACATCACAATCTGCATCTTCCATCCCAGTCTCACACCCAGCCACATTAGCATTCTACATGGAAGTCAGGCACAGAATCCAGAGCTGTGTACCACAGCGCACATCTTCATGACTGGACGAAACTGGGAAGGGAGGCACAACAATCCTATTGTTACAGCTGATGGTTATGGTTTTTGCTAGAACATCATGTTTTAAATTAGTTTGCTGAGAAGCCAGGATTGCTCTAGTGTTGTGAAAATGGCACTGTGCCCATCTGCAAGCAGACACTGAGTATTTACCACAGGACCTTCTTCTGTTAAACAACGAGCAGCAAGCAGCTCGAGCACAGGGTTTCAGGCAGATGGAGGATTCCTTTTCACAGATTTTAAATTTGTGTGTGTGTCAGGGGAAAGCACTCCAAACAGCCCAATATGACACAGTGAAGGTCCAAACAGACCCCAGAGAGAAGAAAAACAGAATAAGGAGCTAAGATGCAAAACTGGAAACTAGAACAACTAGATCCTACCCTGGCTTTGAACAGACTTTGCCCATGATCTTTGAGGAAATTATTATCATTTTTCATGATTCACTGTCTCTTTCCACTAAGATGTAGCTCATATGCTCCTGTAACATAGAAGCATTGGGAAACATAACTGACACAAACAGAAATCTTTGGGACCTTCATTTGGAGTTGTACACACAGTTATGCACTGTATGTAAAAAAAAAAAAGCTCAGCATGTGACACCTTGCAGCTATGCTAAACAAGCTCTGGAGAATTTGGGTATAGTTACTTAAAAACCATCCCTTGCTGTTTGCTCCCCTGTTTAAACTCAGGCACAGAGCTCTGCTGTCCCACAGCAGCTGGCACAGGGCTGGAAATCTTAAGCAGAGGGAAAAACGAGGAGTGGAAACGCTGTATTGGCACCACGGCTTATCTGGTAGAGCCTTCACAAGTCGTCTTCTACAATGGCAATGTAGTTACAGTGAAGGTAATGATGCACTAATCCTGCACAAATATCTGCCAAATAACTTCTGACAAACTGCTTCAAAAAGCAATAAATACACAAACATCAGAGACGCTCAAATGCCAGAAAAATAACACTCAAATAGAACTGTCCATAAAGCCTTCGTTGCAAATGAAAAGGATCAAAGCCATTAGATAGCTCTGTAAATTCAGATGTTGGAAATTGCTTTAAAACTTGTCCCATCTGATGGATTTTTAGGGTTTCTGAAATAGGCGGCCTTCATCTCATTTATATGAAAAGCAGTAGATGGCAGAACAGCTTATTTTAACTTTCAGAAAATGCAGCAAAATTATCTTTTTAATGGGATCTTTTAGAGAAAATGTGCATTAATAGACTTTAGCTACCAACTTTAGCTACAAATCAACAGCCTTAAAATAAAGCATGTAATACGGAGGAGGCACATTTTCTTAATTCTAATCTATATTTTTTCAAAATTCATGAGTTAAGGAAAAAAAACCCCAACAGTTATTTTACTCTTACAGCCTCCTCCCCTCTAAGAGTGGCTGCTGCCTCAGAATTGCTCACAAATCACAGCATTCTGCACCTGCAGGATTTGTGACCGACATCAAACTGATATCAAACTGCAAATCAACCCAACCTTATGATCTTTTTATTGTATTTGCTAAGAGGGAGCCAAAACTGGTGTGAAATACCAATAGAAGCTGAGATAAACCACAGATCCTGTTCAAATCCAGCAAAATGCACTGGAAAAACAATAAAAACCCCCCACACTAGAAGAGCTCCCAGTAACATTAGGTAACCTTGCTGAAAACGTCGAACTTTCTACTCTTCTTTAAGCTGTTACAACCACCTCAACTGCAATCCATAGTCACCAACTTAAAAATCAGAAGAGTTAAGCTAGCTCCAAAGACAACCCCAATTATTCTTCTTTCATAATAATCATTCCACTTTGATTTTCTTTTTACTCCACAGGCATCACTGCTAAACTGCTACCACAGCTTTAATATGAGACGGCTCCAAAAGAAGAGTATTTTTCTCAACTAATAAGGATTCTGAGATCAATCACTGCGCAAAACTCGCCACTTTCCAGCACTTTATTCCTTTGCCTCGATGAGCAAATTGGAATAGGTTTTTATTTAACTGTGATACAACGCATTTGATTCAGAAATTTCCACTGGATGTATCTAGAGCGTGACTTTGACTCAGAGGAAAGTTGGAAGCACCAAGTCATGAAACAAACTTACTCATAATTTTCTTGCTTTTCATAGACCAGCAGGGAAAATTTCCAGTG